GGGGGCTTCCCAGCCCTGCAGAATTATTAGTGCCCTGTGGAAACTTTTTTGTCTAAATTGCCTCAAATAGACAAGCGGACGTGGAAGCCTGGCTTACAAAGACTTTCTGGGGAAAAAGAAAAAAAGTGAATCAACTGCCATAGAAACTATTTTTCTTGTTTAGTAGTGACTGCTTTGTCCTCCTACCAGTAGTCATTTTTTTCCTTTTAAACGTTAGCAGTCTTTCTGCTTAAATTTGCTTCAGAGTAAATTATTTCCTGGAGGTATATTTGTTCTTTGCAAGCGTTTGAGGAGTTTGCTGAAAGCAGGTAGAGTAGGGTTTCTACCTTCCATGGGATTTTCCAGAAGCGTGTGCGAGGAACGGGCCAGAAGCCGCGGCGAAGGGACAGTCCGCCCGCAAGGCAGCGGGCCGTGAAACTCGCCTGAAGGGAAGGCTCTTGCTGCCGACGTTTTAGTTGAGCTTTGCAGCTGTAAAGCCAAAAAATCCAGGAGCGCTCGTCGTCCGTCCAGTCTGGGACCCTCGTGCCCACCACCATAAAGCTGGCTACTTCTCACGGCCACCTTTTTTGGTGCAAAGATGGGTTTATTGGGTGCTCAGGGCAGCAGAAGCCCCTCTTGTTAGCACCGTCTGCTGCAGCCCGTGACGGGCCGTGCCAGGAGCAGCCGCGGCATTGCCTAGCGCCCTCCTCTCCAGGTCTCTGTCAGCCTTGTGGTTGCATCCAACTCGTGCTATGCAGCAACCGTAATATCTTCGCCGCTTTGGAGCTTTCTGGAGATAGAGAAACGCTTTAACTGTGGTATATCGAATCAGGAAATAAAGGCTTTTAACGTTAACTACTAGTCTATTTCTAGTTGCAGTGTATTTTTAGAAATAAGGTGTTATAGCGCTCCAGTTAAAGTAAAACTAAACCTGTTAGTCCTGTTCTGTTTGCCTTGCTTGAATCACTGTATGACCTAGTGCTTGTATATTGTCATCATAAAGCTGATGAACCTAAAGTGACGTTATTTGTGTGAATTTTCTCATAGGTAAACCCAACCAATCATCGTCTCCTGTTTGAAGTGTTTGACGAAAACAGATTGGTGAGTGCTTGTCTTGAGTGTGTTTTACAAACGGTAAGGCTCGGTGGAACGTAGCTGATGAAAACATAGCCTATCTCAAAGGCATAGTTCTGTCTGTTTTATAAATAAGTATGCTAAGTAACGTAGAGCGAAACTTTTTAAAAAAAAAAAAACCTGTTTACAGACTAGTAGTCAGAACATTAAAGAATTAACACAAAAGTACCACTCTCCTGTGTAAGACCAAAATGGTCCTCCTTAACCTACAGTTCTGATGGTGTAACCTCAATCATATCCTCCCTTAGGCTTCTCCTATGCAAAACGATGACGAGTCTGAGACTTTTAGTTACTTATAAAGTGGCTGCTTCATCCCCTGGTTGTTGCTGTTGTCTTTGCTGTACCTGCAATACTTCCACATCCTTTTTTTGGGATGTGGTAACCAAAACTGCACGTAGTACTCCAGAGGTAGATGCACGAAGGTTTTAGATAGTGGCAAAATAATGCTCTCCGTTTTGTTTTCAGTTCCCTTCCTGATGATGCCTAGCATATTGTTAGCTTTTTTGTCTTGAGCTAAATTTTTCTGGTGCGGTAGGGATTCTGGTCTCTCCAAGTCTTACTGCTTGTTGCTTTTAATAAGATTGCATAGATAAGGTTTCCACGCAGGCATACATGAGGTAAACGACACCATCGTTCTGAACAGAGTAGGTTAAATACATTACAGCAATGGTAAACTGGGTGAATGACTTTTTTCCCTTGTTCTCTTCTGAAAATTCTAGTACCGCTCCATTGTTGAGGAGATAAGGTATTCAGTTTTTCAGTTGGGTGCGGTACACTCTGTACTAAACTTGCTTGCCTTGTGAAGATGAGGTTCAGTGTGTTGAAGATCTTTTTATTAAAAACAAAACCAGTAGTATGGAAACATCTGTCTTTAAAATATATATTCTTCTCCTCTGACTTTCTGTTAAATGTAGAGCGAAGGAAAACATGCAAGCTGCAGTGTTCTAGGCAAAAAGGGACTTATGACCCCACTGATGACGTCTTACGAGTCTTACTTTAGGAGGAAGTAAACTGGTAAATGCGCATGTAGAGCGGCCTGACCGTCAATGTATTTACTGGCACGTACTAATCGTTTGCACCGTCAACACAGTCCTGTACCTTCTGAACTTCCTTGTGGTAAGGTGTGCCTCCATCGCCTGCTGGTGCGAGCAAACGTCGGGGCAGAAGTCCTGTAACCGTGACCGAGAGGCAGAATATATAAGCCTTGGGCCCAGGGCTGTGCTGGTGTGGCTCTGTGGCTTGCACGCCTCGTGGAAGATGGGTGGAGTACGTTTGCGTTGGCTTGGAGGGCGTTCAGCGCCCGTGCGTCTGTTTGTGAAAAATACCTTGTCCTCTCTGTGGGATAGTCATCAGCACAAGGCAGGTCAGGAAGTCGTGGAAGAGGTTTTGATCTAGCCGGCAGAGGGCAGTGGCATGCACAGGGAAATCCGTATGTGGCACCAAAGTGGTGACAGTTCAGAAGAAAAATTCTAGTGTTGCTACGCCGCGGCAGCTGAGAAATGACAGCTTTTGCATGCTCGTTTCAGTGGCACTGTTCAAGACCTTGAAGTTTCTGTATGTGGTACTGGCCTTACGCTGGCAGTTTCAGTCCTTCTCCGTTGTTGAACCCTTTTCTGGTGGTTCTTCCTGTGTTCCCACCTCTGCAGGCAACCTTTCTGTAACCTGGCTTAGGATCCGTCACCCTCCCTGCAGAGGGGCCTCTGAGCTGTTGGCAAAGCAAGTACCTTGGGATTTTTCAAGTAACAAACTTCCATCAGTGAGCTCAGAGCTGAGTTCTGACTTGATGTATATCAGGGCCAACATGCTGTGTTTCTCTAACGAGGAGGCATTTAATCAATTGTTTTGACTTTACAGTGAAGTATTTATTGTCAGTACTTGCACCGAGAATTCAGTTTTTGTTTTGTCCTTATGTCCCTAAATCATCAAAGCACTTCCTGAGTTTGCAGTATGTCCTTTCCTCTCCGTTCTCTCCCCCAGTCAAAATGGAGAATATTGGATGCAAGCTTAGTCAGCAGTGCAAAGAGAGACAGTTTCCTCGGATAACGTGTTTTACTTGAAAAATTAGATAAAACAACTTTAACACCTGTGCTTGCACACAATCTAGAGTACTGTTGCTGTGAAGAAGCTATTCATGTTTTTCTTCTTGTTGGCTCATGGTCCCCTTAAAACAATAGGGGATTGTACTGTCTTTTGGCAGTTGCATCGCTGTAAAACAGCTTCCATTTCTCTCGTGACTGGTCATTTTCTGTCTTTTGAAAACAAGCTGCTTGCAAACAGAGGTTCAAATGTCTAGGTTAGAGTATTGACCCCGTACCCGCAAGTTTTCAGAGCTGTTGACAAAACTTACGCTTCTGAGCTCGCAAAAGAGCGAATGTCCATGTGTTGAATTGAAGCTACCCCGGGGTCTCCTTGTGCAGATGCCCTTTTTCCTAAGCAGATGTTCTTTTCTGGTATATACTAACAAGTATTTTATGGTGAGCACGCTTCCAGTGTGAGTGCCCGTTAGATCACGGACTTCCTGCGTTGTGGTAGAGCTGATTTAGGGGCTTTGTTTTACATTTTGGTGTATCCTGTCTGCCTGTCTGTTCTTCTGAGATCTTTTGGCTCTCGGTGAGCGTAACTGTATTCCGTGCTGGCAGTCGCGCCTGTGGTAATATTGCTAACTTTCTCACTGGAAGCTGGCCAGCTTTGGGCAGAGTTTCTGTACGGTGTTTAAGACAAATCAGCATAAAACGACATGCAACACCCGTCTCCGGTTTTCACTCGTCTTTGCTGCCTGGTAAAAACTGAAAAAGTAACTTTGTCTTCTGCCATCTTGCACATTTTTGCTGTTTTTATTCTGTGAGAAATCTTTGCCACATCTAAGGTTGCTTTGTTTGCTGTAATTTTTCATTTTTTAAAAGGACTGTGTGGCGTAGGTTATATTGCATTCGTAGGGACAATGTAAAAGTTGTGGCTTTTTAAAGGGCGAGAAGTTTGTTGTTTAAGCGTGTTATGAGCGCAGTTAAGAATGAAAAGCATAACCATGCTATATTTATTCATGTTCGGCCATGGTAGCCTAACGCTGTAACACGCACCACAAAGTTAAGCTTGGAATAATTTCTCTCGTTTGCATGTGGATTTGACTTGAACTTTTAACACTAACGCAGAGTGTTTTTGCCGTAGTTAACTTTGTGTGCCTGTGCTTTATACGAATGTGCCTTGTGGATATGATGTGGTTTAGATTTATAGCAGTGCCGAGTGTGTTTGCTGCCTTAGTCAGCTGCGAGAGCTCTCCCGCTGGGGCCGCTCCTCTCTGATGGAAAAGGAGCAGCTGTGAAGGTGCTGTTTCAGGCTCTTGCTGGCATTAAAAAAAAAAAACACACACACACACACGCACACACACACAAAACCCCCACCAGCTCACTTTGGAGAGGGGGAACCAGGCCACGTGACTCCCGCCATCCTACCCTCTGTCACAGTGTGTAGGAGCGCTGATTGCTCTTATCCAATCATGCCTGGAATGCTGCTTGCCACTTGGGCTATTTCTGCTATCTGTCGCTATCAGTGCTGCAGTGCTAACAGTTTGGCAGATGGGACACTTTTTCTTGGAGTTTATGCCTTTGGTTTTTAACTTCTGGCAGTGCCTGAATTGTTGCTGTTCTCCCTCTCCTTTTCTTCTCCCTGTAAAACCATGGCCCATCGGCTGCGGTTTCATTTTGGCTCTGGGCGAAGCAACACAGCCCCTGAATCGGAGATCCTCGACCGGGAGAGAGAAGATGACTTTTTCATGGCATTCCACACTTTGCCAAGAAGAAGCAGTCCTCACGCTTTTTCCCGACACGGAGCAGATTATGGTGGTGGTGGCGACTTGCAAGAAGTGGGCTCCTTAAAAAGGAGTACATCCATGTTTATTCCCCAGCTGCTGAACAACATTGATGTGCGTCCAACGAGAAGCTCGTCTATGCAGATCTCTCTTCAGCGCAAAGCTGTGAACGGCTGCGCTGATGAGTGTGGAACCCCGGGATCTCCTGAGGAGACGCTTCCATGTAAATTCTCAGAGTTTCGCGAGCATTACGCGTCCCCTGTTGAAAACCGTTCTTCTTCTCCGAGCAGTCCGGAGGTGACTCCTGGAAACTCTCCGCCGAGGCTGACGGAAGAGCTAGGGCAGCAGGTCAATGGGACTGTTTGCTGTAATCGCAGAATATTTTGTACTATTCCTTCTAAGAACCAGAGCGATGATGCTTTGTCTGCTCCCCAAGAAGATGAGGCAAGCGAAGCATCTTCCGGTTTAAACATAAGTGGTGTGAGGATTCAGCATCGTGCTTCGAGCGCGGATATGCCTCAGGTGACTCTCTTACCCTTTGGCTCTGAGGCTCAAGGTAACGCTCCCAGCCCCGAACCCCGGCGCTGGTCTTTGCAACATGTGCCAGATATGTCAGCAAATTCAGGAAAGAAGTTCTTTGTTCTTCAGCTGCAGCAACCGCAGGCGAGTGGTACGGGTACAGGGGGTGAATACAACTTTGGTTTTACCGGAACAAAAGGGGACAGATTGGTCAGGTATCCGCGGATACGACTGGAAAGGAGCACTTCCTACCCTGTCCAGCCGCGACCGGAGCAGGCTAGCCCCACAGGCGATGGATTGGATTCAGAACTGCACGGAAACGCCAGGAACGGGTCAGAAATGTCCAGAAGCAATTCAGTAGAGAGGATCCCTCAAGGGCAGGGATGCCTGTTTAAAATCAGACCAGATCAGAACACGAGGCAGCAGCACTTCCGAATCCTCGTGACCCGCAGTCCGGAAGAGCAGAACCAGGCTGCTGCGACGGAGGGTCGTGGCACCCCTGCTCCTACCGCAGCCGGCACCGCGGTGAGTATGATGCCGAGCGTGCTCGTTCCTCTGCGCTAGTAAAAGGCAAAATTTCCATACAAAGGCTTCTAAACTTCAGGCCACCGAAGAGCTTCCATTGTTAGTGCTAGAACGTTCCGCATTTCTCTGGAACAGGCCACAAATCATCTCTATTTCGAATCTAAAATAACTTTGCTCTCAGTTATGATTACATCCAGTGTAATATTTTGAGATCCTAATGTCTCATGTGTTACTTAATTCAGTGTTACATCAGCTGAAAAGATTGTAAAAAATTGGAACAACCAAATGTCAAACTGAATAGTCTTGTTAATTGTTCAGCTTGGCAAGACCTTGCTGCATGAAGAATTACACTTTGTTTTTCAAAACAAACACTTTGCTACCTTCTAAATATAATGCATACATGTATGTATCTCTGCACAGTTTAAAAAGGTATGTTGTGGTGTGCTAGCAGCTACGGCTACAGAAATTGTGAAGATACTGACTTTGTTGTTACAGTACCACAAAGTTAGAAAAATTTCTTTTTTTACCAAAAAATTATGTTTGTTTTCAACCTTCTGTAAATTAAAAACTTGTCACATGTTTTTCAGCCCCAAATCCCAGTCAAACAACTGCACAAGCAGCTTGGCACAAGTTAGTAAACTGCCCTGTCATTTGCACTTTCTCTGACTTTGCATTCAGATGACAAATTTCATCTTCTAGTTCTTCTTGCTTATAATGGGAGAGGCTTGAAGTTTTATGTTTTTAAACCATTTTTGAAAAGACCAAACCAGAGATAAAAGTTAAAGAGTTGAGTTAATTCATTTGGTTGAACTGCTTTGCTGTGCAATTTAACACTACCCACTTGAGTTTCTAAGCTCGGTGACGCTGTATATAGAACAGTAAGTGCTCTGTCTCCAGCTATGAAAACAGATTCGCTAGGACGGATTTTGGGCTTCGTTGCTCGTGTGTTCGCATTCTCTTGCGCTTTCTTTCAGCGAAATGTAGTACCGAAAGACAGCTGCTCGCTGCAGCAAGGCCGTATGATGACTCTGCAGCTTTCCCAGCAAAAAGCTCAGTCTCAAAGTTATTTCAGTATAACTGTCTTTTTAGCCCTTCTATAGACAGTGTTGAGTAGAAATTCACAGTGTCCTTAAGCTTTTAGTTTAAAAAAAAAAAAAAAAAAAAAACCCAAACCCCAAAATCTGCAAAACATGTGTTCTTGCCAAAGGAATATAAGCTTCATTTCAGTCTGTACTGGCTAGCAGTTTTGTTGAGCGGGTAGTGTATGGTATCCTTACCGTCAGCCTGAGAACGTTTCAGCAGGGAAATCTGGAATGCAGAAACCTTTACTGATCTCTTTTCTTCATTTAAATGTCGTGTATATAGCACAATGTTAAGCGTTCTACTATTTTTCTCTTCTTAAAAAAGACGTTTTGTTTTTCCTTTCTCTGTTCAGCTATTTTTAATTTATTCTGCATGTAATTTTTGGCTGAACTCGTCTTAATCTGGAATATAGAGTTGCTTCAAGATATTAAGGATGTTTGAATTTGGTGAGAGAAAAGCCAACTGTGAGGTCTGGCTCCAAATGTAGTTTTCCCAAAGCGCCGCATTAGATCTGGAGTTCCGTTTTTGCCTGTCTCTTTTAGTCTACATACTCAGTTGATGGGATTCCTTAGACACCATTCAAACTTCTGTGGAGTCTTCACAGCTCGTATTTACCCACATTACCACGTTCTGTGTCTGAATTTCTATTTTCTATTTATTATCTCTTGTTCCTTTCCAATAATAGCAGCGTGGAGAGCCACCATAAACAATTATATAAGTAGCTGCAATAGGTCAAACCTAATAGCAGGTGGCAGAGGTTTGCCCATTTGTGCCACTTGCTCAGAGATGTGCATCTTCACCCTGTGTCTCTGCAACAGTTCTGTCTCGTAAAATATATACTCCCCCAAAGTCGCTGCTTTGATCTTCATCGCAGTAGCGGCTCTCACACCAGAGGCACGCTTGAGAATTTCCAGAAGACAATTATGAAATTTGTTCCTATGTACCCTTAGTTTTAGTCAATTTAGTCAGCCGTGAAGCATGGCAGTGTCAGAGGCGCTCAGCCCAAATGGGACTTGCGTTCCCTACTGCAGAAAGTTTCAGAAATGGAAATTTAATTGAGGCATAAAACTTTTTCCTACTCTTCTAGCATAGTTTTCTCGTATTTGTAGTGACCCCAGGAGTGTCCTGGACAGAGGTGACTGCGTGGGCCGGTTGCCATAGGAAGGGCAGGCAATAAAAGCAGTTTGATGGAAATCTGCTGTATTTAATCTACTGACAAAACACCTCTTCACTGAGGTGTCACTTTTGATCTGCCCCGTGGAAGTGTTTGAGGGAGGACCTGTGATGCTGAGGAAGGGTGTGCCTGCAATATTTGAGCTATGGAGCTGCGGGGAAAAGTTACCATGTTTTAAAGTTGTTAGGGTAAAAAAAAATTCTAGACTCTTCCAGTTGAGGTAGTTTGCGTGTATTTGATTGATACAGGGCATGGGCCTGGGGCTGTAAGCAGCAGCTGCTACGGCCTTATTTATCTGCAGTGAAAACATTCATGCGGGCGTCTGCAGTCCTGCTGCTACCAAGTGTTTATGACCTTTCAAATATCTTCTGTTTTAGACAGAAATGTTTTGGGGGAAGCAGGATGTATTTCATTACAAGTTGTTATTAAGGTATTAAGTAAAATAAGAGCTTGTGCCCAATCTGTGAACGTTTTTATTTGGAAGCCTCGTTACAAATTCTTTTGGCTGCTCGGAGGTTTCGTGTGTAACGCAGTGGGCTGCGCGCGTATGCTGTGGCGTACAACTACGCTTACGCTGTTTATAATTTGGGGTCCGTGAGCGCCGCTGTGTATGTGTGGGAACCACACCTCAAAAATGCCGTGGTTTGGACAACTGGTTAGAGAGCTGACAACGGCATCTTTGTTGTGACAAAAAATACAAAGTGCCCTGACAAAATACTGTAGTAGCGTTGAATTGTATTAGTTACCAAATAGAAGTGGCAACTCGGTGGTTCTGCGTTTCCTACAAGTCAGGTTTTATTTTTCCTTCCTTCCTTCGACGTAATTTTAGAATAAATTTTGTTATGGAAGTATAGAGAATGTAATTACGCTCAGGAGATATCACTTGGAATTGGGGCATCTGAATCTAAATAGGGGTAATTTAGGATGAGCGCCGTCCGGCAGTGGGCAGGCTCCCGGGTTGCAGGGCGCTTGGCGACGAAGCGCTGAGCCAAGGCCGAGCACGCGGCTCCGGAGGGGGTTAAGGAGCTGGGAAGGGCCGCGGCTCTGCCGGCCCCGCTCCTCCCCGGCTGCAGCATCCCTCCCGCGGCCCGCCTGGTCCGCCCTCGCCTGGGGCCCTTCCAGACTTCCTGCTTGGGATGTCCCTGCCGTCCTCTGATGGCAGCGCTTCCCTAGGAGGCCTCTCCCCGTCATGGGGGCAGGTGTTTAGGGTGGGCTCTGTGCTTAATCAGGAATAACTGTTGTCCTCTAGAGTAGAGCCAACTCCTGTAAATACGGCTGTGTATCACATTGAGGAAAGCATTTTTCACTTTGAGTTTGGCTTTTCTTATTATCCCAGTTTTAGTCGAGTGCTCCTGAAGCAGCATGCTCCGAGACTGTCTGTGATATGGAGGTCGCGGGGTGGTGTTGGCAAAAAAAGGATCTCAAATGAGGGAAGTTGTTGTTATTCAGTTTTACACATTGGAAGAAAAAAATAGAGTATGTTTAAATAAAAAATGAAGACAAGTTAAAGGAAGACAAACGTCATGCTTTTGCAGGTGAATGTTTATTCTGTAGCCACAGTTTCATCTACTGTTTCCACTAATTACATAGCTATCAACAGCAAAGGTCTGCTTTAGTGCTGTTGTGCCGCCTGCTTTACAGCCCCTGCGTCGGTGCCCCGTGGACCGCCGCTCCCCCGGGGTGTGCTCACTGCTCTCTTAACTGGAGATGGTTTCCTATGGAGAGTGACGTTCAAGGAGGAAACATCTGAACCACCGTTACCTTGGCTAGCTAGACCTTCACTGCAGGAGACAACAGAAAATGAAATGAATCTTGTTGGCAGTTCTCTGAAGTTGGTGATTTCACAGAGCAACTTTCCTTGGCTACGTCTTCAGACCATACTTCCACCACAGTATTTGCTTTCCTTATTCCTTTGTTTCACGTTTCTGGGCTGTATCTTGGATCCAGTTGGGTTGTAAAAGCTAGCAGTTACATCTTGTAACCTGACCAACCTTTAACACTTCCTAATGAACAAGAAGCAACTGTCTGTACTTGCCGCGTGCCCCGTTTTGTTAGCAGCGTACTCTTTTGCCTTACTGAAAAAGGGCAATGTAGGAATAAAAATGCTCCGTATTATCACCAGTGCAATTGGCAAAATAATAGACATTTTCGGTTAGTATGGCGTTCACTTCTAGATTGAATTTTCTGTTTTTTGTTTTGTACATAAATTGATCCTTGTGAGCTAATAAAGTCAATTCAAAGCTTTGCCTTTAATGTTTTGATGTAAACTAAGGCAAATTCAGAAAGTGTCTTTTCTGAGATGGGACTAAGAAATTAAATGGATTATGTATTGCTGATCATCACATGAAAAACTGCTGGACATCTTTAAGAATTAAATGTAATGAAAAGGGTTTTTTTTTTTTTCTCAATTCAAGTAAGCATTGCAAGAGATGATTTGTTTCGTTGAGATAGAGATTACAGTTTTTGTTTTAATGTTGCTGCTCTTGCTGATCCTCTGGTCAATCACCAGCCTGTCCTTGACACAGTATTCAGTACTTCATTTTCACATCTTTCATCATCTTTAGCTGGCCCCCACTCTGATATTTTCTCAGTAAGTATTGGAGATGGTGGTAGTTGTCATTTGGAAAAGAGGTTTAGTTGCTTCTCTTATAATTTCTGAACCAAGTCCATGTGTCCAGGAACTCCAGCGAATAAATAGACAAAATCAGGACAAAAATCCTGTTCCTCATGAGCGTTAGTAGCC